CGGGCGGCGGCCGCAAGCCGCCGACGTGCGCCGAGCACGACCTGGAGAACTACAGCATGTACTGCGTGAGCTGCCGCGGCCCCGTCTGCTACCGGTGCCTGGAGGAGGGCAAGCACGGCAAGCACGACCTGAAGGCCCTGGGCGCCGTGTGGAAGCAGCACAAGGTGAGTCCCGGTGGCTGACCGGGCGGCAGCGCTCGGCGCTGGGACTTGCTCGTCCCGGCGCCCTGACTCCATCGGGTTGGAGTTTGTGGGACATGAGGACGTTTCACGTCCGTCATGCTGCCAGACTTTTTTCCCCTTGGCACGGTGCGCTTAGGTCTCCGGTCCGTCCTGACTGCCCAGCGACTCCGCAGCCTCTGATCAGGGTTAGAAAACCCACAGACTCCCTCCCATATTGGCCTCGCCTTATCTCAGCCAGCAAATCTCAGGCTAAACTGGGCCCCCAGAGACAGCTGGGATTAGCGAGTCTGCCTCACTAACTTGTTTGCCTTTCAGACAAGGTCTTTGGCCATCCCGTCCTCTTGCGGGCAGCAGCAGCCGCCTGTGAGGAGCAGGAGCAGAGAGGTTGGCCATTCCTCCCTTTCACCTGGGGCTCGGTGGGAGCTGCCGCAACCGTTTCCCGCCAGGCCTTCCTCCCTGCCATTGTGTCAATGGGGGAGAGTGGCCCGGAGCCACCCAAATGTTTTAGGGAGGAAAGTGTGATAGGGAGGATCACGGGACATCATGTTGTCTCCTGGGCCTCAAAGAGGCCTCCCCTCCCTCTCAGTTCCCAAAAAGGCCAGAAGGAATGGCTGGAGGGACCTTCATGACACAAAAACGAGTAGGGAAGAGTAGGATGGATGGGGTCTGGGGACAAGTAAAGCTTTTTCTCAGTCACATAATGTCGCGGTCTGATTCATGCTTCCCTGCAAGCGATGCTCTTCGCCCCTCCCTGGAGCCCCCACGGGAAGAGTTCAGAGCCAGGCACTTTGCAGCACAGGCAGTCTGCCGAGCTCTAGTAGAGCTGCTGGGTCACTTGGCTACGCTCTCCTTGTTAAAAATAAGACTTTGCATCCATTTGAATAAAGAGCATGACATGACCTTAGAAGTTGAAAAAGTGTGTGACATTACTTCATTCTTGCTAAGAACGGTGGACTCTGGAAAAACGATCAGTAAATACATGTGAATGTACAGAGAGGACTTCAATGCCCGAGTGCTGAGAGCAGTCCTTCGGAGCTTCCCGCCGCACTGGGGGGAAAGGACTTCTCCCACAGGGGTGCAAAGGGCACTCGGCCAGCTCTGCCGGCTGCAGGATTCCCTTCTCGCTCTCTGCTGCAGTTAGCAGTAAAGGAAGCACAGGGAGATCCTTTCAGGCACTGCAGGAGAGAACAAAATCAGGACTGGTCTCACCATCGCTCAGCCATGGAGGGGTTGAGTACAAGCTAGGCTAAGACATTTGGCAAGGAAAAAAATTGACTTTCGATGTTAAGACTCAAAAAAGATGCTCCTTGGGGTGGTCTGCATAGTTCGTCCATCTGAGAAAGACAAACTTCTTTAGTACGTGTTTCAGCATGAATACTCTCTGCCAAGGGCTCAGCCATCTCCTCCCTGATGTGGCGGGTGTTTGGGCAGAGGAGACGTTCTCTTGGCTCAGAAGGAGCAGATTACAAATTAGCGGCTATTGCTACTTGTGCTGATGGCAGGATCCACTTCTGAGCAGAATTATTTTAATGAGCAGGGACTGAGTTCACTGTGCAAGTGTGGCTGATGTTTTAGAGTGTGAGAGACCAGCTTGTGCTGTATTATGGTCTGCCTTGAGTTACAACTGTTTGATGCCTTTTGAACAATGTGATAAACTCCAGTGTAATCGAAGTGCACAGTCAGTCATTTTCTTTCCTTCCTGCTGTCAAATATTGTCAAAAGAAAGAACGGTACCCTGGTGGTTTGTATTTTTACAGCATTTTTTTCTGGGATTCAGGTATCACAGAATGTGATTTTCTCTTGATTTACAGACTCAATCAATGTGAAAATTCTAGCAAAAGAAAAAAATACTCAAAATTAACTAATTTGTGGACTCTAAAATTGTGCTCTTGTGAATATTATTTTTCCCAGAACAATGCGCTTGGCAGAAGATAAATATAATGGAACAGTATAGCCAGACAGCCTAAATCATCAGCTCACATTAATTCAGATAAATTGTTTTGGAATTAGATACTTCTGCTTAGAAGTAGTTCTCAGATACAGCAATTTCTGCAAGTTTATTACCTGTAGTTACTTTGGCCAAACCATAAATTACTTACATTGAGTGGTATGCCAAATGTAATTCAAGTTTTATGTGTTCTCTCCAGATGCTCTGGGCGTAGCTGGTAGAGGCAGCTGGAAGGGCTTGTCTGTAAGCGTTCTTAGCCCAGTAAATTTGACAGACTGACAGTTGTTCGCCATCAGCTGATAAGCACCTGCTTATCTCCTTCTAAGGCCACTGGCTGGTATTCTTCACCTACGAAGGGCTGCCAGAGCCATTTCCCCACTTCTCACAGTTTCATCCCACGCCAGCAGACTTGAACCAGTTTTCCTACTGACTTCTTGAACTGCTTTTCCGAAGGCCCTCCCTGCCTTCAGCTTCAGAATCCGTTCCCATTCCGCTTCTGTATCAGCCTTCTGTTCATCCTGTTTGACTACTCCTTTGTCTCGGCCTTACATAGCAATTTAGTGGCAAACAGAGTGTGTAACCTTGTCTGTACAGTGCTTCAGACCGTGCAATGAAATGTGCATTTACCCTCAGCTGTACTGCTGGCATGAAAGCTGTACAAGACTGGTTGGCCCCTCTTAATGCTGCGGGTTTCCCCTTTACACGGCTGTAAGTAACTTCTTCAGAGAAATTACAAATTATGTACAATAAAACCAAGGGCCCAATGGCACAAATCAGTGTAAATCCACTGACTTAACTGGGCTTTATTGTATTCACTTGCATGAACTGTGCATCTAGATCAACAGTTTAAGTTCATGAAGTAAAACTGTATAAGCCTACTGCCAAAGTGAAGTCCTTTTCGATCTTCATAACAAGAACAGTGACACTGTTGTCAGATTTAAGTTGGTAAGCTTTTTGACTTACTAATATGAGGAATGATGGTGGACACATTTCATCTCTGCCCATTCTGAATGGTTATATATATATGTATATATATACACACACACCCCCCACCCCAAAACGCTGAAAAAAACCAGCCACAGCTGGATGGGTCTGTGACAGGCAAGCAGGCAGGCGGTCGAAGGCAAGTATCAGAGCCTGAATGCCTGCTTTTATTTGCCAGCCTAAAGAGTTGTGTTCCCAAAAACACGAGGGCTGTTTCAGAATTGAGCACCAGGGTAAGCTTATCTAATCAATAGTTAATCTGCTGCTAAGGAGAGATGGAGGGAAAACAAATTAAATGAGCATGAACCGCTTGGTTGAAAAAGGGTGTTGGCATTATCTGGTTCGTTTTCTAAAATCAAAGGAAGCATCGGTCTTCCATGCCCATCTGGGTTTAATTACTCACCCTCATTATCTCTCTGTTCCAGTATTTGATAGAAGTAGAAACTTGGTATCCATCTCCAGCATCCACATTTTTGGTTGCAAGACCAGGTATTCAAGTAAAGGTAACGCCAGGTAGAATACCGTTTCTCAGGAGTTATTAATAGTCGCAGTCAATGGAGCTTGTAACATTTCAGTTTGGCTTCCAGTAAATATTTCTGCAGCACAAAAGATTGCTCTGAGCGTACAGGGCCTTTTTTTATGGCTTAGTTGGTTTACTGAGAGCTTAGTCATGTAGCTCCATTTGATCTGAATGGGAAGTGCATGACTAAATTCCACTGCTTTGTAAGGTATCTTTTACAAATGCTTGGAAAAACAAGGCTATTATCTCTAAGTGGGTCTCACAAATGGAGATCTGGTCTCCTCCTTGGTTTCATGCTGCAGTTGCATTAATGCAACCACAGGTTTTAATGAACACGGCAATTCGCTTATGAGCCCTTTGAACAGTGACGTTGTTGAGTTTCTATTGCAGCTCTTTGCAATGGGAGCGTGCTGGGAGCCAGGAGTGACTGTGCTAATTGCCATCGTACATATGCTGGTTACAATTCGTCTGCAGTGATTCAGTTTTCTATGGCTGCTGTGATGCCCACACAGCATCAAAGCACAGGAGCTTTTGGCTCCTCTTATCCAGTGAAATGCACTTAGAGATGATTTGAGAGCAAGGGCAGATGTTGGAAAAGTGAAAGTTTTATTCCTATTGAAACCAACCAGTAGTTTTCATTTGAAAGAAAGGAGCCCTTGCCTCCCTGGGACACTTTGGTCAAGCCAGTCAATGGCAGAGCATATCGTGCTTTTGCCACCTATTTCTTTCTTGCCTCCTCCCCAGCCACCTGATCATATGCCGCTGCCACCTTGTCCTGCATCAGCTGGACAAACCAAATGCTCAAGTGTGCCTCGTGGACGGAGCGGAAAGCGCAATCAAAAAGGGTGGGCTTTAAACTGGCAACCACAGTCAGCCTGTGGAAAGCTGATCCAAAGTCCTGATCAGCTGATCTGGCAGAAAATAGGGACCCTTTCAAGGACTTAGAGTTTGGTTCTGTGACCTCAGGTACTGTTCATATCAAACATCATTGCTATACATTTTTGTGAAGTGACAGGAGTTTGTGTAAGAGAGTATTAAATATTCAAATATTGAGAAACATACACAGTAATGTGTCTTCCCATTGCATTTGCTACAAATGAGTTGTGGTAAAGCATAGTTTATTTTCAAATTTAGCACTAATGTAATACCTACAACTGGGATAAAAGGAAAAAGTTTGTGTGAATATGAGGAAAAAAACCTAGGATGGCTTCTTTCTCTATAATTCAGTCCCAGCTCCCAGTCGGGGTTTGTGCCCACTTCCCGCAGAGCTGTGTGGGGTTAGGCGGGTGCCCCTGCCTGCGTTAGGCTGCCTGCCTCAGAGCGGGCTGTGAAGGGCCCAGGTGGAGCTGCCAGGGTCTGCTCTTTGCTGTCCTGTGCGAATGAGCGAGCGCAAGGGGAGGATGAGTAGGAGACATTCGGGCAGGAGGTAGGCTCAGAACTTTGGCAGCCCGAAGAAGTGAGCTGTGCCCTTTTCAGGGATGGAGTGATTTTCTTCCCTCCAGGAGCAAGAGGGAAGCAGAGAACGAGTGGTGACCTTCTGAATTTCAATTAGCTCTCCTCTTAGAGGCTCATAACCTTTGTGCCTTCCTACATACAAGGCACTGTCTCAAGGCACACTCCAGTACTAAGGAATCAAGAAGAGGAATTAACCTTCTGAAAGCCCGACGTTAGCAAAGATACTTCATTTTCCATTTCCTAATGTCAGTTGTCATATCCGTTTGGCAAGGATAATGAACTGGGCATTGGCAATCTGGTTGCCTGAGGCATAGACCCATGAAGAGGGTGTCTAACCTGCAGGACGCTCACGATGGGACCTATCTGGTCACTCTGTGTTATGTCTGCACAGAGAAGTAGTGCTGGATCCAGGCTTGCCATGAACTGACAAGCAGAGCAATATGGTTTCTGTAATCCAGGGAAGCTGCGCCCGGGCTGCTTTGCTCAGACCGCGGCACTTCGGTGTCTGTCCGGGGGCAGAACCGCCGTTTCCTTCCCGTCTTGGAAGCCCATCAAGAACCTGGTTGCTCATTTTAGAGATCTCGGGTACCAGCTGAGCAAAGAGGATGCTGGGTCTTCAGTATGGACTTAAAATAGATAAAGTCCTTACCTCTCACCAGTCAAAAGTTAGAGGAAGGGGTTTTTTCCCAGCTTTTCCAGAGATATTCACCCTTTTGTTGAGTTGGACCATGGGAAACTGGAGCCCCAAAGGGATACTACTATGAAGTCTGAAAATGCAGATTTGTCTTTGAAGTCCTAGTGTATCTCAGGTTTGGTAGAGTCAACCACATTTATAAAAAATTCAGGCTTTGATGCAAAAAAAGTGCCATCTTGGAAAGCACTTGGGGATTTTTCAGCACGACAGATGCTACTGTGTAAGTAAGTGTAAGACTATTATTTCCTTATATATGTGGGTAGCTGTCTTATAAAAAGGTATTTTGACTTACCGAGTCACTGCAATAAAGGGGAATGTGCAGACACAATACTCGACTGCCCCCACATGCATATTTCACCTTTATTAAATCTTATTGCAATTAAAATCTTAACTATTCTTTTCTAGCACAAACACTCTGTTCGTGTAAGAATACATGTGAGAGCAAGTAAGCCTTTTAGCACATTATTAATCATCAAAACCAAGGATTAGTAAGCAACACATTTGCATTTTATCTCTTAATTTTTCCTTTTTTCCCCCACTTTTTTTTCTTGCAGGCACAGCTGTCTCAGGCTTTAAATGGTGTTTCAGATAAAGCAAAGGAAGCTAAAGAATTTCTGGTTCAGCTGAAAAATCTATTGCAGCAGATCCAGGTAACTGTAGAATATTAGCTGTTTTGATAATACAGTAATCAATAGAACTGAGTGAATAATTTATTTGATGACTTTGTCTCCTGTGCTGTTCTCATCTTTCCTGGAATCATCTAACCTTTCTTGAATGGATTTGCTAGGCAAAATTATTCATCAAATAATGCCTGCAAGCCCCTCTTAGCTTCTAGATTGTTTGCTGTTTATTGCAAGAAGCTGATACTCAGTACTGGACATCTGAGCCGTGTTGATTAGTATTTGATTGAATCCATCGGTCATGCTTCTGGGCTCCTTCCTGACTGTAATCACTTCAGTTGGGCATTTAGGATAAGTTCTCATTTTAACACATTCAAAATTTACTACTTGTTTTTCATCTTACATTTTCTAAAAAACATACTCATTTCTGGACAAAATCCAGTCAACCTGCTTATCAGAGTATTTGTAGGAAGTCAAAAAAAAAAGAAGAAGAAACAAAGGCTGCTAAATCAATGTGGTCGTTTATTGAAGCAGAAGATATTTCAATGCCTATAATTGCCCAGCTTTAATAGTCAGAAGAGGGCTTGTGGTGAGTGCAATAATTGAGGGCACTAACCGAAAACGAAACAAGTCTTGTTTTCAACCAAATTTAGACCCGTCAGTGCTGGAGGTCAGATGCTCCTCAAGGTCCTTCTCACCCAGCAGAGCGTGGCTGGAAAGGTACTGCCGTAGTTTGAGCTTCACAGCACCCAGGAGGGGACACTTGTCATCCGCAGCAGCAGTGCTCTGCCGCGGTGGGTTTTCTGTGGGCTATACATCATCTGCTCTGCGATATGCCCGCTCTGCTGCTTGCTCATCTTTCATCAACAGGCAAGTCCTGTGCCTGTTACTAACAGAAAGCCAAATCAGAAGTTCCAAAATCTGTATTTAGTTTAGAATTTAATCATTAAAATATTCCACTGGACACTCCAGGTGATGAATTCATACCACAAATGCTGCCCAAGCCCTCAGGTTGCCACAGGGCAGTGTAGCTGCCCACCCTCACAGTCTTCTGTGGCCACGTGGGGAAGGGAAGAAACCAAATCTGGGAAACTGGTAAAAGATAGCACACCTAACTGAAAGAAACCAGTGCGAAGCCACCGACTGGCACCTGTCACACGCCGTGTTTTGGTCACAGTGTGAGGTTTCTCTCAGCTGATTTTACCTATCTAAAAGTTAAGTAGCTCATCTAACCTAGTCATTAGGGCTTCTTTCATTGTCCAAGGAGAAGGACAGGCACCTCTAGAGAGCAGTTCTTCCTATAGGTGTGAACAGCTATTTTAGGATGGGATAGCTCATCCAAAAGAGTAGTCTACCAACCGTCTTTTCTTGAGTCACCTAGCTCCATTAAAAATGTATTTTTCCCTTCTGAAACCTTAAGGTGGCCTATTATGACTATTTATGACTGTGCTGTAAAATCCTTTAATGTATTTCAATAAAATCACTGCCAAATTGCTCTGCATAAGGGAGCTGCTGCTACAATTAGATCAAAAGACCACACCATTTCTTTGATGCTGCTCATTGCTTAAAATGCTAGAGGAGAACTCAGAAGAGGAAATTGTATCCAGCAATCCCCCTCTAACGTTTAGGTACGTCTGAGCACAAAGCCGGACCTGAACCTGAAGTGTTGAGCTAGTCTCCAGCATGAGTCTGAGTGAGGACATCAAATTTCAGCAAACCAAAACAGCAGGACTAATCAGCTGCATATGTATTCAGAAGTAAAACAAGGCTAGGGCATATCTCTAAAGATGATCACCCACAGAGTTTAACTCTTAATGAGCTCCCTGGCATGATTTTGTCCCGTGACAAATTGCACTCTTCCCAGGTGATGCTCAAGCAGCATTTGATGATAGCACATACCAGGGAATACTCTGGGTAGGCAGGTTTGGTACAGCCACGCTATTGCAGGGGAAAGGCTTTAGGTGTGTCATGAGGTGATCTGTGCCTTTTGGCATCTGGACCAAAAAAACAGTTCTTGGACTGTTATTTGGGGGGGGACTAGATGTAGCCTTTGTGCGTAGATTTATACCCAGAACCATGTATCTCAGAGCAGGTTATTTCTAACAGAAGTCTTGTGATGGTTGCCACACACACACACACAGACATTTACCCCTCAGCAAAAATGTCTTTAAAATGTATGTTTACACAAAGGAGCGAGCAATATGTACATTTTATTATCCTGTCTCAATGCACAGCAGACCAGACAGCCATCTGCCCTCTTTATCTCCTCTCTGAGTTTGCCAGAGCTACCAGGAGCTGTGCTTTTATCTTGCCTGGGTCCGTTTGCAAATTCATATTCTACTTTTCATTTCCCTGCTCTGCAGGTCTCTTGTTTCCCTCTTTTTTCCTTCCCTTCTCTTTCTGAGGTCACTTTTAAATCTTTTGGTCTCTTCTTTCAGAAAGTGCCTGTTCCTCATTGCCCCTGTTGTTTCCTTGCTCCTCCTTGTTGCTGTCATTATCTCATTTTCACATTTTCCTAGCTGGTGTAACAATTTCATCCTTTCTCACTTGAAAGTGGCATAGCGCCAAACACCCCGTTAGATGTGTGAACAGAAGATGAGGAGAGAAATGATGCACTACAGCCATCGGCTGATTCAGGCTTTGTACACAAACCAGCTCTTCAAGAGTAGCTGGATGGAAATGGGCTTAAGAGGGAGGCGGGTGTGATATAAGCCGAGGAGGGAGAGATGCAAACAGGAAGAGTCTAAGACAAGCCTGTGAACAGGAACTGAGCCGTCTGGTGTCTCTCCCCTCCCCCCCCCCCCCAGGTGGAGGATTGCAGCGGGGGCCTCTCAGGGAAGAGTGACCCTGTGTCCCTCAGCTGGAGAACGGGACACGTGGATCGCAGTGAGGGAAGGGAATACAGTGCTGAAAGTTTTGCTCTCAAAAGAATGAAGACAAAGCAATGAACAGAAAAGAAGAGAAAAGCATAATCAGAAGAGCTAAGAGATAGTAATGCGTTAGGGGTGTGTGATGGCTTTCCCATGGAGATGCTTCTCCTTCAGCACATGTTTAAAATCTTCTCACATTTAATGCTGCTTTTTTTTTTTTTTTTTTTTTTTTTTTAAATTTGGGGGTTTGGGGGGAAAGTTGATGGGACACATGAAACTCTTAGGACAACTGAACATCTCCTGGAAAGAGGAGCTTGAAGAGAAGGCTGCGGGGAGACCTTATTGCAGCCTTCCAGTACTGAAAGGGGGCCTACAAGAAAGATGGGGATAGTCTTTTTAGCATTACCACGCAATAAGCCTCTAGACAAGATTCTGGTCCATAATTCTCTTCTAATTGCCACGGTGTAGAGCCAGTGATTTCAAAGTTTCTAGAGTGGGATAATTAAAACAGAATGGGGCAGAACCCTCTTATGTATATGTATGCACTGTGTATGTCAGGTTTAGATTTTACATTATGTTGTACTACATCTGTTGTCCGGGAAGTGCCAGTAAATCAGGGTTTTAAATAAGCCCATTTTGTGGCATAGCATCTTACTGTTTTGTATTATAGCACACAGCTATTACTGGTACAGCTATAATGAAATCAGAAAGGCAACAGAAATGCCAAAGTCTTGAAAGGAAATCTTTTCAGAATGGAAAACCAGGTAAGAACAAACAATAGCTTAAGGTGTAAAATATGCTTTCTTTGATGAGGATGACTCTCGCCTTCTTCTAGGAGAACGGGTTGGATTATGAGGCCTGTCTTGTCGCTCAATGTGATGCCTTGGTTGATGCGTTAACACGACAAAAGGCAAAACTGCTCACAAAGGTGACCAAAGAACGTGAGCACAAGCTGAAGGTGAGCACAACTCTCATCAGCTGAGCACGGCTGTTGATACTTGGCGTTACTGTGCATTTTGTGAAGTCCTTTACACCATGAAAACTCCTAACAACCAAATCTTAAAGTCCTTCAGCAGGTTCCAGTTCAGCAGTTTGGTGGAACTGTGCTTATACAATTAAAATGAGGCATATACTTCAGCAGTTTGTTAAATCAGGCCATCAGTCTTTATTTATCTGATGGTTTTGGGCTGTCTTGTGAGAGGTGCTTGTGAGTGAAACCTGTGTGGTTTGGATTCTGGGACCTTACAAATGCAAGAAAGCCCTTCTGCCCAAGTAAAATGTGGGGATTTTGGTGTCTCTCCAAACCTTCGAAATTCAGGCAAGCCACCCCCAAAAATCCATGTGCTTACTCAAAAGATATTAAAGAAATGCAGTGAAGAGGGATGGGAGAGGAAAGCTATAAATGGTTGAACAAAGTGGCAGTCAAGAAATGTTTAAATAGACACATCTCTTGAAATGTCGAACTGCATATGTGATTCCGAGGTATTATAGTGCCAGTAACATGAATAGTTTCTAAGACAGAAGGAAAAACTGAAATGAAAAATCTAACATTACAAACAATGAATAAAATCTACCTGAGATCGGCATTTAAAAAAACCCCGTGCTTAACAAGAACCAACACTTAGGACATACTGCTAACAGCACAGCTCATCCTGCAGTTTATTCCTGTTAGGCTGCTGTACCTCAGGAGCTGTGCTATCGAACACAGTGCTATTAGGCCTAGTCTACAGCCATGTGGCAGCAGAATCAAGTCCAAAATCTGGAAAAATGAGATGCAGCTTTTCTATTTCTTAACCCCAGCAGTGTGTTCTTAAGCAGAGCAGGATCAATGGTGAGTTGTGAAGAGAATGGTAGAGTATAATCTGCAAGAAACCACTCCTGCAGTTATCCCCTATAATATTTGCCTTTTAAGTGAAGGATTTTTTAAAAGCTTGGATTTTAGTGAAAGTGTGATTGTAAATGTGAATAGTGTAAATGCAGAAGCATGTTATGTGCTCTTTCTGCCTCGAGCAAGCCTGATCTTTGAGCAATTAATCTGCTCTGAAAATTGAGATTCCCTGTGCACAACATTTTGCCAAGCTAATTACCGGTATTTACAATACAGAGCAAGTGAGTGTAGCTGATGGAGATATGGCAATGGCCATATGGCAGCTAAATTAAGCATAGCTTTAACACACTCTTCCATTCGTTGTCTCTTCTGAAATACTCTTACACAATTCACTGTAAGCTGAGGCAGTCATCAGAACTGTACTGATGCTTGTTTTCCAGGTTGTTTGGGACCAGATAAATCACTGTACACTGAAGCTACGCCAGTCAACAGGGCTTATGGAGTACTGCCTAGAAGTTATCAAAGAAAATGATCCCTCTGGGTTTTTACAGGTATTTTTTGTTCAGATGTTCTGGGGAAAAAAAAGAGACGACCTGAAAGTTAAATCTAAAAATGGAAGGCTTTGCTAATTAGCCTCTTCCACCTCCAAGGCAGGTTCACCTTAACTCCTGTTAGTACTGTCTAAAAGCTCAGATAGCCTGGTGACTGCATGAATGTCCCAGCAAAGGGATGGCTTTGCACAGCCGCACTCTGACCGAGGTGTGGAGTTAGCAGTCACACCACTTCCCTGACTGCTGACATCTCTCCTCTTGCCAGCCTTTCCTTCTGGGCCAAAAGAGAGATGCTAATGATAGTTAATGATAACTTTCTGCAGAATATTATTTTATTCTCATCTGAGAAACCCAACACGGGGCCTCACAGAGCTCTCTGATCAATTTGGAAAGCTCTATGACTCAGCCGAGTAGTGCTTCTCCCCTTTTTGCTTCTTCCCTTTGCATTACTCTCTCCCCAAGAGTCCTTTCAACATCTCCCCTTAAGGGCTTGCGTGTAGGTTTGCTTCACTGGGGTTGTTGCACCTCACAGGCATACAAGACCTGTCTTGTAACTGGAGGCTCCAGGTACCCCCTCTTTGCAAAATATGGCCTAGCCAACAATTGCCTTGATTTGCAGGACATTGTTTCTTAGGTGCAAGCAGTGAAAGTGTCTATTGATGAGATAAACCATAACAGTTTTATTATCCAATTAATTATTTTGCCTATTATTTTTATTAATTATTTTCTTTTGCCCTGTTAGTTTTGTTGCCTTATTAATTGCCTAAGAAGAAAGGCATATCAAACAAAATGATCTGCACGTGGCTGTCAGCTGAACAAGGCACGCTGCACACATGAATGCATGGGTGTCAGGGGGCTGTCACAGCATCCCTAAAAAACAGGATGAGAATTAGCCAACTTAAACCTATTAGCACTCCAGATTGATTGTTACTGTCACGTCTGGTCTCAAGCAAGAGTGGGGAAATGTGTGGTGTATATTAATCTCAACACTACACAGATTTTAGCAGGCTGTCTGTTGGATACTACAGGACAAATGAAACCTTTAGGTCTTATCTACATGCTAGCTAGATACATGCTTCGTTTTCATTTCAGCTTACTTTTCCTGTAACCTTTGTGGCTTCATTCTTTGCAGTCACCTTTTGTAAAAAAATACTTTTGTTTTTAGCTTTTCCTGGTTTATCTAAGGATGCTTTCAAGGCAACCAGCAAACACTGAGACACTGCATTACTTAGAGCAACTACTGCAGCCAGGACATTGAAACACAGCCAAGGGATCCAGCATCCCAGTAAGTGACTCCAAGGTTGTAGGAAGGCTATAAGATGCTTCTCCACTTACTGCACAGACTGATTAGGAGCTGTTGGTGCAGGGGCTCAGACAGGAGTATCTTCCAGTAACAGTAACGAGGAAAGGTATCTGAACCCCTGCAATAAAGAAAAACACTTTCTGACCTACCAGAAGAAAATTCTGCTCCCTGTGATTTACAGGAAGCTCACTGGGGGGGCTCCAGATATCCAAATGGCAGCTTCACTGCACTCAAGGACAGTTGAGTTCACTGATTTCTGCGGAGCCAGGATTTTACTTCCAGACGAGCCTATTGCAATCATCTTAGTCTGACTTTTGGCCTAATTGTCGGTGGGCTGAGCTGGAGCAAAGCTTTAAAAATGTAATTTGGTTTTGATATAATGATAGAAAATCCGTCATATTCTTTGGAAATCTATCTGACAACTTACCACCCTCACTGTGAGAAGTATACACCTTCCTTCCCATTTGATTTTTTTATTCCTTTCAGCTTTCATCCACTGAATCATCTCTGCTGAATGGAGAGACCCTCTAACATTTAAGCCTGTCTTTGTGCAACTGCTTTTTAAACAGGCGAGCAAAACTGGACTATGCATATCAGAGAACAGAGTGCAGAAGTATACGTGGCATTCAGAGACATGATACGTAACATAATCTTAACAGGCTTTCTAAATGAGGTTTTTACTTTCCTACTCTAAGATGAGATTTGTTTTGAAAAGACGAGACGAAAGGAGGCAACATAAATGGAACTCACCCCAAAATGACCAGATCCTGTCTCAGCTGTTGTGCTGTCATATTCCCGGTTTCATTGTGCTGTAGCTATCTCACAGGCATTCTGTCACTTTTAATGTGTTATAATTTGTTATAAGCCTGATACTCTCTTTCAGATTTCGGATGCTTTAATCAAGCGTGTTCAGGTATCTCAGGAACAGTGGGTCAAAGGAGCCTTGGAGCCAAAAGTGTCTGCTGAGTTTGACTTGACTCTGGATAGCGAACCTTTACTGCAGTCGATTCACCAGCTGGATTTTATTCAGATGAAATGTAGGGGTGAGCTTTTATGATTATCTTTTTTCTGTTTTTCATGCATGTGTTGAAACAGTGCTGGGAAGAACAGGGACATGGAGGGAGGAAAGAGGAATGACTTGAAATTACTAGATAGTTTTAAAAGGTTTTCAAGCAAATTCAGATTACTGGGTGTTTCCTGGAAAGGTGTGCGCGCCTCACATGCAGTGACCTGAACAAGCTCAGACAGAGATACCAGGTGCAGTTAAAGACTTGAAAAGAGAAATTCTTCAGAGTAGGGCTATCTATCAGCTTTGAAGATTAAAAAGACATTAGCTGCATGAAAATTTATGCCATTTTACAGCATTCCTAGATTTAACATGGTTAATTCAGAATACCAATTACCTGTATCTTGTCAGGAACAGCTGAAGTAGCAAATAAATATTCACCCCCACACACATGTGCTTGAATAGGGGAAGAAAAACCAACCTTTGACTTATATCTGGACTGTGCTGCGAACAGTGCCCAGCTTAAAAAAAAATCTTGAGGCAGAGATTCACAAGGGGAAAGTAGCTCCATGGCTATACCCTTTCTTGATTCCAGGTATCTGAATGATCCTCAGGGACACACTAAAGGGAGAGGAGGTTAAAAAAAGCATTTAAAAGCAGAAGCTGATGAACAGTAGATGCCATTGGCAAAAAAAAAAATATTAACATCCTGTGCTTGTAATGAGCTTGGTTTATATGGAGCAGGATGAGAACTGCATCAGAATTAGACAGATCCATAGACCGGCTAGATTTGAAGGCCATTGTGGTCCCTGGGAATGATGCCATTAGCTTCCCTCAGTGGTGATTCAAGCCTTAATTATACATGTGGGTGACAGGGTAGAGGCTGCCAGAAGTCAGTGAATGAGTTAAGGATAATAGTGTCGTGATGCCGGGTGTGCTTTTTTTTTTTGACTCCAAGCAAGCATAAAGATTTCTGTTCAATTTATCTGTCCTCTCTGGGCCTAATTCTGAACCTAAGAGACCCAAGATGAAGTAATTAGGGTGGATAATTTGGCAGATAAATATGTGGAGAAACAAGGATAAACATTTAAAGGCCAAAGTCTGCTCACCAAGAATGGTTTGCATCTTGGCATAAATGGGCTGCATTAAAGTTACTCAAAAAACACCTGTGAACCACTCCTTTGAAATGTTAACAGCCAGGAAGGAGTCAAGAGAGAAAGGGTATCACTGATAAAACTTCTCCGAATGCTGTCTGCACTTGTCTGTTTAAATCAGTTCATATTTAATGCTGGCCATACTTATGGTTCAGTATATTTAATGCTAATCTTCTGCCACTCTCCTTCCAAAACATAGAAAAAAACTAGTTAAACTGTCCACTTAGATTGTTAATTAACCACAGGTCACCTGAAGTGAGAGCAGCTTAGGTATTTGGCTTTTGGACATTCATCTGGCTTTAAGCTTGAAGACTTAGAGACTTTAATTGAGCCAGATTCACTGGAGCTTTATGAAAGATAGTGCTGTCTGCTGATGCTCTCATTTAGTATATGATAGCAATGAAGCTCTGGTACTGAGCTAGACACGGTGTGAGGAGCAGAGAAGAGGACAGGACTACTTCTGCCCAATCCTGCACAGAGCTTACAAACACCCTTGGGCTTTGCTCCCCAGGGCATCTTAACAGTTAGACCTCAGGAGGGGCTTTTCCTTGAGCTGTTTTGGCCTTGACTAGGGAGTACCTGCTGCATGTCCCATCAGGTTGGTCAGCACAACTGGTGTGACCATGTGCACGCCATGCAAAGGATGGTGGAAATGGCATTTATCCTGGCCACCGTTCCGTCATAAGGGACGGCATTTTTCCTCCTCACACCTCTGTGTGCCCAAGCAGTACAAGCCGCTGACTGGTCCCAAGCCAATGTTCATAGGTATTGAGGATTGTTTAGTATATAGGGGTGTATTTATATTTTTCAGTTTATGACTGCAAATCTATTTGCATTTGAACTGCTCAGTCTGACACTTTGACATTTTTTTTCTCAAATTTACCTTCATCACCTCAACCAGTTCTGCATTATCTTCTCATGCAGAGTGGTGTTGCATCTAGAAATACAGGTACCGCAGAGTAAGCAACTCAACATTTCAGCAGTGAGCACCCAGACTCACTGGGAACATCACGTTGCTGACTGTGAGGAGAAGCTGGTGTTGCAGGGTGATGTTTTGCTATTTATCACCATCAGGATGTGTAAATTTCTGAGCCTCCAATTTTGCAAAGAAAAATCTATGTTTCTCCTCACATCTGGTCCTCTTTCTTCAATCCTACCTACCCCCCAGCACACCAACAAGTCATCAATCTTTGCCAAATGTTGGTGTTGAGGGGAGTGTTATTAAGTCACTATACTGGTTGATCTGACGAGAGCAGATGCATTAAGAACATCAGAGACAATCTGGAAAGGGAGTTTTGCGGAAACCTAGGAGAACAGGGCCAGCGTGGCTTTTCCAACTGCAAGTTGTTTTGTTCCAAAAGCTTTGCAGTGTAAGGTCTGTACTATTGTTATCGATGTTTAGTGCATGACTGAACTTCTGTATTTTTTTTTTCAAACTCTGGCCTCATTCAACCTCAGTGAGCTTGCAAGGGTCATTTAGAGTGAAAGCATGCTTGTAAGTAAACATTGATTCACTGTGTTCGACAAAGAAGAATGAAAATGAGAACAAATCACATTACATTTGCTTTGATGACTTGTTCATGTACCTTACTGGTGGACTCTGTGTAAGCCCATATCTAAAGCTAATCTCAATAAATAAAGATCAGGGGGAGTTTTTTCTTTTTACAGAAAGAAAAAGCAATTTGGTAACAAATTAAATGTGCAGAAATGTGATAGGTGCAGAAGTAAAGCTTACACAGTCATGTTGACCAAAGGGTCTCACTGATAGCCCTTTGGCAAGAGTCCCATGCTCCCCAGAGTAGCTGACCTGCTGAGACACACGTGCAGCTCTAGTAATTGCTGGCATTTTGAGCTTTCCCAGCTCCCTTTCCTCTGTCCCTGTTTTCTTCTCTCTATTGCTTTTTCTGAGTGCCTCGGCACAAAATTCCTGTCCTCTTTGATGACTGGCTCAATGTGTACATCACATTTCCTCAGTTCAAGCTATGGGAATAGGCAAATATGTGTTCCAGGTTTGCTTTGTTCAAACAGCTGGAACTGTCATGCAATCTTGGTTTGTTGTAAAATGGAGACTAGGTAGAAAATAGGAAAAAATATAGCGACTCTCTACTTTCCTGTACCACCTCTGAACACTCACTCATATGCCCCTGCTCCTTGTCAGGAGTGACCCTTCCCTCTTCTGCAAACCAGTCCATGAAGATTCCCCAGACACATCTCCTGCCGCAAATCTTCTCTGCTTCTCCAGCCGTGAGCTGCACAGCCCTGAAAATGAAAGATTAACTGTTTCATCGTGGGCTTTATCCCTGGTTCTGTCTGCTCTGTGTCATGGACCCAGGTCTTTGCCTGTGGTCTTTCCTTCTCTCTTGATAACACTGTTTTTAGGGCACTTGCTACAGCAGTGACTCAGGCTATTACAGGGCTGTAGTGCAGTTTCGGAGGAGGTCAAAGTTTTCATGTTTCTGAGGGTCCCCTTCTTTCACTGCATTTAGTCCTTTAAAAATTAATCTGGGAAGGTGGAGGGCATCATTGCACAACTTTCTTGTCCAGAGGACAAATAACAGACAACGTCTTAGAGCAGCCCTACTCTACCCTGAGAGGAGATCAGCTGGCAGATACATTGAGCAATGTGTTTTTGAAACTGCTGAGTTGACATGAGATATCAGTATCGCATTTTTTAGCTAAGTGTGACCTGCATGAAGCACTTCTGAAATAGCAGGGCATCATTCAGCCTCATTAATGGGTCTTGCTGTGCCAATGCAGTATCATTTCTCCCTTTATATTTTTAATCTTTTCCTTCAAAAACTCTCTAGAGGACTTTAAGTTGAACAAGAAGTGGGACAGCACTGTAATTTAACGTCTGAGTATTCTTTTTTTTTCTGACACTTAGCCTATATTTTTCTTTTCTTGGTCCTGTCCCATTGCTCTTCACTATGAAGTATATCCCAGGGTCCTGATTATTCAACTCGCTTCGCACCTTCCTATGACTTTTACAAGTGCTCATCTTTTCTCCTCCCAGAGGGGATCTGAGATCAAGGCATGTCTCTGCCCATCTGTGTCCAGGGGAGGAGGCAGGAAGGCAGGCGCAGCGAGCATCATCCAGCAAAGCTGCACAGCTGCTTGGTGGGAGCTTCTTACTTCTCCTTCAGTTATTGTAGGTTGTGCAGTTCAGGCCACAGGCTGGCCCAAAGGGAGTAGGAGGCTGGTAAGGATTACTCACAAAAATTTAAATGTCCAGTGACACGGTAAAGAAGCCCAGGCACTTCCCCACAGTATGTGTGACTCTCACACATAGGGCCAAAATTCACATTGCCCCTGGGAAGTGGGAGCAACAACACTTTACCATATGAAAACATATTCTAATCCTAGACAGCATTCCTGTTTCCGTAATTTAAAGGGACTCGTAAAACGCTTACCCTCCCCAAAAAATTCTGCTCTTTTTTTTCAGTGTTGTGCATTACGTGAACAGTCCCTGAAAGCCTCCCATCAGTGTTCCTAGGAGATTTTTGCAGGGGGTTGGAGAGGTTAGTGTTTTTTTCAGAGGTGAGGGGGCACTTTATAAACTTCAGGAATTAGGTTTTCATCCAGTTTTGCCAGAGGGAGTCTCAGAAGTGGGGAGAGCCCAGTAAATGCCTCCCGAGAGGGTTAACCGGTCAGCTGAAGTGGCAGGAGTGTGGATGGCTGGTACAGCCCTATCTTCTCCCAGGCTCATCAATCACTGGAAATACACAGGATAACAAACACAGACAAAACCCTAAACTTAAAATGGCTCACTTAAAAAATCCCATTACCTCTGAATTGCTTGTTTTCAGGTTTTTGACTCTTGTAATGTCACATTTATGTTACTTCTTCAGACACAGTGTCTCCTAGAGAAAAGCCTGAACTTTCCATGTGAAAAAACAAGCAGGTTTTTATTTATGACACCCTCTGAATCCTTAAATATCAAGGAATAGGAATAAGGATTTTTTTTTTCTCTTTTCACAGAAAAACCTTCAAGAGCTAATTTATAAAGCTCTTTTGTTTCAGACCACCGTCATTCTTCTGGGCTACCAACCATCCGCGTTCACTGTGGTGATGGATAATGCCAGCGGAAGGCCACGGTAGCTTCTGCACTGTTTATCACCAGTGTGATGTTGACTTTCGTGTCACTTCCAAAGTAGGGGGTGAAGCCTTAGCCCCGTCACACAGTAGCGTGCATTTTCCCACAGACTGCTTGGTACACAAAACGTGAACAGTCATCTTTTATCCGGAGAGGTAAAATAAGACGAAAGGAACAGCTCAAGGGCTTAGCTCTCCCGCAGACAGAGGGAAGAAAATAAACTAGAGGCTGAAAGCAGAGTAGATAAAAGAAGAGCAAACTGACATTGTTAAGAGCTAAGTCAATGAATGCTCAGAGCACTCAGCTCCTTGTAAGACACGGTCGAGCTCTGCAGAAATGATCCTGAACGGTGAAATTCAGCCTCGGGCAGAAGACCAGGCAGGGTCTATGCATCACTTACCTCCCACTTAACCTGTGCAACTTCAACAGTGCGTAAGATACATACCAGATCTCTCCAGAAGACCGAATTTTCACTTTATAATTTCCAGTGAAGACTGAACGATGAGAGTTGAGTTGTGTTTAGCAGAGAAAGTGTGGTGGAGGCCTCTTTCCCACAAAGGCATGGCTGAATGTTTTACTCTGTTTATTTTTATTTTTAAGATGCTGGTCTGGTCAACAGTCTCTTGGTGTTTCTCCTGAGTGAGTCACTAAACAGCCATGTTGGTAGATAACGTCACATCTGTAATTTCTGAGAGGAGAGAGCCACAAGCAGTCTCCTGTGGTGCAGAAGTTCCTTTTGCTACCTGAACCAAGGGATTTAGATAAAATTGGCAAATGGAACAATTTTCTTGAACAGTTTCTTTTAATATGGCTGGCATAACGATAACATATCCAAGGGGGGTTTTATGAAAAAATGTGTG